GTATTTATAGTATTTATGGAGCAATTCAAGTATAGTCTATGTTTGTGAGTGTTTATGAGTGTTTGTGTTAATGCTGGAATCTACATTAAAATTATGTTACCTGTGTACAAGCAACCTTTTATTATTTGCACGTACAAGGAGCATCTTAAAGTTCTGATGCAGTGGTATAAGTACTGCTCATAGGGTCTATGTCCCCCAGGGTACTGCCGGAACGTACCCTGGTCACTATTTGATATGGTTAGGATTAGGGTTAGGGTTAGGGTTAGAGTTAGTGTTACGGTTAGGGTTTGGGTTAGGGAGTAGGCGTAGGTGACTCCCTAGACTCGTTAGTGGAGTAGGCGAGGTACGGTCCGGCATAGTAGATAGTACCAGGGTACGTTCCGGTATACCGGACCGTACCCAGGGTCAGCATAAGTACTACTATAACCTTGTAGTCAGCACTTGATATTTATCATGTAAAATATATGAAATATTGTGTTTCACATTTAAATTGTGTTATTTTTGACAGGCGAATGTGACTAGACACAGGAGCTGAGACGTGAAAAGTGCCATTTGGTGGTAAAAATGACAGAACAGTTAAGAGAAGGAATGGGACAAGCCAAGCAGGCACACGGGGATGGTGGTTAGTATGCAATTTGCAAACCTTCAATCTAGCTGTACTGTATTTAAAATGGTTCATAGTGTGTGCAGTATGAATTTTCTGTTTATTGGTGATATGTATGTTGCGTTTAAAATGTCAGTCTTACACGTGTTATTATTTTAGAGAACAATGGTGATGTAGGTCTCATACTTCTTGAAGCATTCCTACACAAATACACACATTTTCAATGTTTATAGTTTTAAGTCATGCTGGCTGCATTGTTTTGTAGCTTGGTATTTACTCAAATTATTTTTTGAAATAAGATAGGTTGACTGCTGCATGGGATGCCTTTGAGATCACATGTACAAGTTTGCCATTCGTATGTGATAATGTTTTTACCTTGTCCTTGAGAAGATTGTTTTGGTATTCCAAATCCCTAACTTTCGCGGCTGGAGACTCTTTTCAATCATTTCCCTCTAAGTTCAACCCGATCCCGTCATTGCCTTAACGGGGTGGGGAAATTATAGTGCAAGGCAGGCAGTTTACATAAAGTAGAGCTGTGCATTATGAAAGTATAAATGCTTGACTTGGCTATACGTGGCGAGCGGGATGAATAGCCGAGTAATCATGAGAACGGAGAAGCTGGCTAAGACCTTCTAGAGCCGATCTATACCTGGGAGTGTTTATGCTGCGTTGAACTCGGGATCACTACACCCCTGTGTTTGCAGTTGGCACAGATGACTCCCTGTTCTGGTAAGAATA